CAGAGTCCTCTCTTCCTGTTCTTGCTGACCCGGAGTCTGACTCTCTTCGTGCTGCCAGTCCTACTGTCACGCGTCTCCTGGCCACTGTTGTCACTGACCCTTCCTTTGAGTCCACTGCTGCGTCTGCCTTCGTTACTGAGCGTGTCGACTTTGCTGCTCGCTGTCGTCTAGACTACGCCGCTAGTCTCGCTGCTGAGTCTGAGTCTGTCTGTCCTCCGTCCGTCGGGGGTGAGTGTGCTCTTAGCACAGACGTCCTTGAGGACAGGCAGGAGGAGTTCCAGTGTTTTGCTACTGCTTTGCCTCATCTCGTGTCCACGCTGATTGCCCCTGAGGGAGACCCGGATGCACCAGACATCCCGACTCCTCGATCGTACGCTGAGGCGATCGAGGGTCCCTACTCCTCACAGTGGCAGTCAGCCATGGATGCAGAGATGGCCTCCTGGAAGTCCACAGGCACCTACGTCGACGAGGTTCCCCCACCTGGGGCGAACATCGTCAGTGGCATGTGGATTTTCAGGGTGAAGCGGCCGCCGGGTTCTCCGCCTGTCTTCAAGGCGCGTTACGTGGCTCGAGGCTTCAGTCAGCGGCAGGGAGTTGACTACTTTCAGACCTTCTCTCCCACCCCGAAGATGACCACTCTTCGGGTGCTGCTGCACATAGCCGCTCAGCGCGACTACGAGCTTCACTCTCTTGACTTCAGCACAGCTTTCCTGCAGGGCAGCCTGCACGAGAAGATCTGGCTGCGCCGCCCACCTGGCTTCACTGGGTCGTTTCCTCCTGGTACCCAGTGGAGCCTCCGGCGGCCAGTCTACGGTCTCTGCCAGGCGCCCCGTGAGTGGCACGACACACTGAGGACTACACTTGCGGCTCTTGGGTTTGCTCCTTCTACTGCCGACCCGTCGCTGTTTCTGCGCACCGACACCTCCCTGCCGCCGTTCTACATCCTCGTGTACGTCGACGACTTGGTCTTTGCCACTGCTGACACTACTGGACTCGCCCACGTGAAGTCCGAGCTGCAGAAGAGACACACGTGCACAGACCTGGGTGAACTGCGCAGCTACCTTGGCTTGCAGATCACCCGGGACAGAGCACAGCGCACCATTACCCTGACTCAGTCACATATGGTGCAGCAGGTCCTTCAGCGCTTCGACTTCACGTACTCCTCGCCTCAGGCCACTCCTCTGTCTACTCGCCACTCGCTCTCAGCTCTGCCTTCGGATGAGTCCGTAGAGCCGAGTGGCCCGTACCCAGAGCTTGTTGGCTGCCTCATGTACCTGATGACCTGCACACGACCTGACCTAGCATACCCTCTTAGCATCTTGGCACGCTATGTTGCTCCTGGGAGACACCGACCAGAGCACATGGCTGCAGCGAAGAGGGTGTTGCGCTACTTGTGCAGTACGTCGGGCATGGGGCTAGTGCTTGGGGGGCGACGTCCAGTGGTCCTCACAGGTCACGCAGACGCTTCTTGGGCTGACGACCAGGCTACGCAGCGGTCGTCACAGGGTTACACCTTCAGCCTTGGCTCCGGCTCTGTTTCGTGGCGGTCTACCCGCTCGTCTTCTGTTCTCGGCTCCAGCTGTGAGGCTGAGATCTACGCGGGGGCCATGGCTGCACAGGAGCTATGCTGGCTCACCTACCTGCTGACTGACCTAGGAGAGCCGCCTCGTTCTCCTCCAGTTCTGTACGTAGACAACAAGGCCATGCTGGCCTTGTGTCGGGAGCACAGACTGGAGCACAGAACGAAGCACATTGCTCTTCGCTACTTCCTTGCTCGTGAGCTGCAGCAGCGTGGACAGCTGCGCCTTGCTTACGTGGCCTCTCAGGCCAACACTGCTGATATCTTTACCAAGGCACTTCCGCCTGGTGATCATCAGCGCTTCTGTACGATGCTAGGTCTTGTGCCTACTTGGCCTCACTTGCTCACTTCTTGACCTTGCTTGTACTGTGATCTTTCTATACCTGCACTTGCTTGTTTACCTTTATATATGATCTTGCATGTGAACTGGCCTTTTGGCCTTGCTCTTGTGCTCGGATTGTGTGGTGACGTTGTGATCCACCCTGAGCTTGCTTTGCTTTGCTTGACTGGTCTTGTGACCTCTTGTTCTCCCCCACTTTGCCTATGGGGGTGTGTCAAACTTATATGCTATAGTCTGTGTAGGCTGTAGTGGGGTAGACTATATGGGGTACAACATTTCTAGGTTTCCTACTTGTACCCACCCCTTTCCTAGTTCATTCATTCTTCGTTCTTTCACATTGTGACCACTTGTTCTCCCCCACTTTGCCTATGGGGGTGTGTCAGAATATTATAAGGGGTACAACCCAATTATGGTTAGTACTTGTACCCAACTCATTGATAGTTCATTCATTTCCTCATAGTTCTTTCACAACAAGTCAATGAAATCGGTTAGTAGATCAAGTGACTAAAATAAGTATTTGGAATCTGTGACTAACTGGATGGAGTGAGTCACTGAGGCAAGCTAATAAGTGACAGGAACGAGTCATTGAAACACTGGTTAAAGTCAACAAAACAGGTTACTGGAATCAGTCACTGCACTCAATGGATGCAGTTACTGGAATCAGTTTTTGAAAAGAGTAACTGAAATGGGTATCTAGACTGAATTAGTGACTGACTGGACTGTGTCATTAAAACAAGTCACTGGAATTAATGACTAGAATGAGTCACTGAAATCAGACTAAACAACTACAACAATTGCAATTTAAGGCTCGACGCAGGGAGAGCAGTGAAGACAGTGAGTGGAAGGGAGGAGATTGGGATGGGAGTATAGCTAGGCAGAAGGGGGGAAAGACGGAAAACATAAAAATGATGGGGGAATGGAAGGGGGAACCCAGTGGACACACATATTTCTCAAAGATTGTGACATTTTTGCACCCTTCACCACCCTTGAGGACAACAAGTTGCAGTAACATTTTGTACAGGACTAATATGTACAAGTTTCAACTACCAGTTAAGTATCTAATTTAGCACACAGACATCTGATATGCTATGCTACTATTGTCTCCATGCCAGCACCGCCTTAAGGCTAGCCATCACAGAAACAACTTGTTGTCAACAGAAGGTCATCAGCTAGCTTTGCCTTCCCTCCTTTTTCCGTAGCTCAAGCGGCAACAGCAGCAACAGGCGCAGATATTTTCGTCCTGTTCAATCTGGAAAGTTCAAACATCACCTTCATTTGTTGCAGCTTTGATAACCCCTTCTCGGCCAAGGAGCTTTCAACCTCAATGACTTTTGTTGATCTGGTGCTGCTTGTAGCACTCGCCTTATCGACCTTCACAGACCTTGAGCTTGCAAGCCTTGGGATTTTCGATGGCATGCTTGAAATCGCAGCCAGCGAAACCGATTTTGGTGACCGGTGCTTCTTTTTCTGCTGTGTCGCCTGTTGTTGCCTCCGTGGAAGATCACAGGCGACGTCAGCAGCAGCTTTCACCAAAGCATTCACAGCAGCTGGACGCAGCGGGGAGAAGCCAGGAAGTCTACGGAACGACCTCTGCTGGACTCCCTTCACTTCCTCGTCGAGACTACCGATTCTGTACGCAGCAAAGAACGGGCTGAAGCCTTTCTTGGTCGTCCGGATCCTCCTGGTGTCGGTGTTCGGCCGTCTGTCCTTCCTGCTGATATCGTTGTTGCTTGTAGCATCAGCAGCCGTGCTGGAAGCCAGAAGAGACAGATTTGCCATCGAGATGGCTTTTAGGAAGCGGGAGGACGACGATTCAGTGCTTTCGATAAGATTTAGGCTCAGAGAAAGAGCGGGTGGGTCTCGAATATCAAGAAGAAGCAAGCTTGATCTTGAGAACCAGAACACGAAACGAATGAACTGAATGAATGACTGTGATCTATCTGATCAATATGTGCTCGTTTGGAGCTGAGGGGGTCTAGCAGAGGAGAGGAGAGAGGAGGAGAGGAGAGGCTCTGTGAAGTCCCCGCAGAGGGAAAGGCTCTCTGCATGGAATCCCGAACCGAACTGTGAATTTTGGGTAGGGCAGGAACGATTTTGACGGAAATTCTGGGCAGAGGAACAAGCGCTATGAGACGAGCCACGTCATCATTGCTCATGCTGCCCGTGGTATAATGCCGTACCCTTGGAGGTGATTGCGAGTTGGGGTGTCAGAGTCGGTGTGCGTTGCTGGCACGCAGCGTTAGACCAGATTGGCGGGATTGATCGAGGTCATCACTACGTGCGGGATTCCCGAGGCGGCTTTCTCAGGGTTTCCTGTTTCGTGCAATTTCAAAGGTTCATACGCGCCCAAACAGTAAAACACAGGCGATTGCGGGATCGCCTCCGCGTTCTCGCGGAAGCGATCTGCCCGCGGGCAGCAAAAAAACTAAAACCCACTCGGAAGGCATGCGGTTCGGGAGGCATTACCCATAAAATTTTAAGGTTGAGGCTCCCGAACGGCATGCCGGTCGCGATGGGGAATAGTTTGTTTTGCCCCGGGCAGACAGCTTCCGCCAGCTCGCGCGTCCTGGTGGGTTCGAAACCCACCAGGAGGGGCACCTGGTGGGTTTGCGCCCACCAGGGCTCGGATGGACTCGTGGCGTCTCGCCCCATACCTGCTTTTCACTTCCGTCTCTAACGGACACTATTGCGACCAGCGGTTACCACCCGACCAGTAATCCTTTGCGAATATTATCGTCAACCGCTCTCAAGGTAGAGTGTGTCGCAGAACCGAAAATGCTTTCACGACAGCAGGAAGTATGACCTCGTACAAGAGTGGCAGCTTGTCTAGGGATCAACGAGGAGAAGAGAAGGATTCAAAATTGTACTCCCTATAGCAAGATACTTGCATCACGATGTCAAGAAACTTGTGGTGCCGAGATATTTTTAACACAATAGAAGTTACCAACTTTTTCTTGCATGGATCCCTTAAGCCCAATAGATTCAATAGCAAATGCCATAAGGAAGGCTAACGAGATAATTGAATGGAATAAAATGTGCTTTAGCTCACAAAGATGTGCACGAAATCGTATGTAACATGGATTACTCATCATCCTCCTCGCTGTCTTCATCATCTGAAACATCCTCAAACATTGCTCGATGATTTGGATTCCTCTCCAAAGGAGGCAATCCATCGTCCTCCTCATCTTCACCCTCCTCTTCCTCTCCCACTCCCTCTTCCTTCTCCTGCTCATCTCCTCTTGTTCTTTGCCTTGACTCGTCTGGCCCCTCCCCTGCGCTGCCTTGGGACCTCCACAAAGCCTGCCCTTCCCCTCCAAGCGAGCTGTGCTCTGCACCTTGCTCTTGCAGTAGCTGTTGGCTTTGCTCCAGCGGGGCTGCTGTTGATGCTCCTGCTCGTTCTTTGACTGCTGCTTCAGAAAATGCCTCTGGCCTGCCATTAGAATATACCAAAGGGAGAAATGTTTGGAACAAGGAGTTTTTTTGTTGCATTCTCACTGCATCGACCGAGATGCAAATAACACATGAAACACACAAGGGTGGGTGGTGAGAATACAGAAGCAAGAAGGAAAAAAACAGAGAGATGAAGCGGCAACAGCTCTGTACAAACCACTGATTGGAGGCTACGAGTTCTTTAATGTGGTGATCAAACAGCACAGCCGTTATGCTGCCCCTCACTCGCCCGCCTGCCTTATCCACCTCCTCCGCTGAACTCATGTCTGCCACCACGAAACTGCCTGGTGGATGGAGGGTGGTGGGGGAAAGGGGAAGATTGATAAGGCAAAAGCGTGATGATGCGATGTAACTGCCAGGTGGAAAAATCATGCTGCTATGATGTGAGTGAAAAAATATATGAGATTTGCTAGGCAGGTGAATATGCGGGCCAGTATGTGAGACATAATACATTGTGAGATATTTCGACATTTGCCAGAGTTAAGTGAGTAAGGGGTCATAGAACGGAAAAGAAATACAGTCTGAGCGGGCAGATGATGGATTGCACACGATGGTGTGGGCACATGATGAGCCACCAACGAGGCTTGACCCACTCTCACCTCTCTTGAGCCACAGCATGCGGTGGAACTTGGCAGGCAACATACACAGCATTGCTGCGCCTTTGCCGTCCTCCAGCTGCAGGGGGCAGAGAAGAGGAGCGGAGGGAAGACAGGGAGAGAGAGCACGGACGGATTTCTGAGGCGCCAAGTATGCACAGCATGGCTGGAGGGAAGAGGGGAATAGCGGAGGGAGGGGGAGGAGAGTAAGAAGGAAGAGTAGGGGAGGGGAGAGGGGGGTGGGGAAGGGAGAGAGCGCACGGGAGACGGGGAGGAGAGAAAAGAAATAAAAACACAAGAATCCCATATAATCTGACCTCAATGAGGTTGCTGCCCCAGGAATGCACCTCGCCCCCTCCCCCACTCCGCACGCCCCTCCCCCTAAGTTGCCAAATACGCTTGTAGCGTATATTCGCTTATCGTATATAAGCTAGCGTATATAAGCTATCCGCTTAGGGGGCGATTTGGACATACGCTTTTTCGGGCAGGGAAAAAACTTCCCCGGGCAGGGCATAAACAACCGCCAGGGCTATTATAGGGGGGAATCTAGGGTGTTATGTTTCAGAGGTGATATTTTTACCCCATTATTAGATTGCAACTCCTACATACATTACTACATAATAATCTCCTACCGCCAGGGCTATTGTAGGGAGGAATCTAGGGTGTTATTCCACGATTTTTTTAGGTCGGGCTGCCCCAAAAAAATATCTGCCAGCGTTTAGCGTATTTGCTGGTGTTTAGCGTTTAGTGGGTAAACGCCAGCGTATATCCGCTAAACGCAAAGGGTCTCTAGCGTTTTTGGCAACTTAGCCCTCCCCCCCCCTCCCTCCCTTTTCCCCACCTCCCCCCCTCTTCCCTCTCCCCACCGTTCCCCCCCCCCCTTCCCTTCCCTTTTCTCCCCCCAAAAGCCACCTCCATCTCACCTCGATGAGGTTGCCGACGCGCCCCCCACCCCCCACCCCCCACCCTCCACCCACCCCCCACCCCCCACCGTCCACCCACCCCCCACCCCCCACCGTCCACCCACCCCCCACCCCCTACCCTCCACCCACCCCCCACCCCCCACCGTCCACCCACCCCCCACCCCCCACCCTCCACCCACCCCCCACCCTCCCTCCTCCCCCATCCCCCCTTACCCCGCACCTCAATAAGGTTGCTGCCCCTGGGAGCCACAACACGCAGAATCTGCTCACCCTCGCCCACACTCACACGCTCTCCCTCCCCCACACTCACTCACTCGCCCAGCGCACCCGCCTTCTGAGGCGCCTCTACAGTCAACGCATCTCAAGAAAGGTTGCTGCCCTCCCCCCTCCCCCCCGCACCTCGATAAGGTTGCTACCCCGGGGGGGCACAACGTGCAGAATCTGCTCGCCCTCACCCACTCCTCCACCAATCCCCCCTCCCCCCTCCACCCTCACCCCGCACCTCAATAAGGTTGCTGCCCCTGGGAGCGACGACGCGCAGAATCTGCTCGCCCTCGCCCACGCTCACACGCTCGCCCAGCGCACCCGCCTTCACATGCTTCCGCGCGCGCGTCATGGCGATTGGGTGGGTGATGGAGTGATGGTAGCTGGTGGGGGGTGAATGGGGATGATGGGGGGATTTGAGGTGAAGCGGGATGATGGGGGGATTTGAGGTGAAGCGGGATGATGGGGGGATTTGAGGTGAAGCGGGATGAGAAAGGGCATGGAAAAACCCCCCCAGTGCACCTGCCTTCACATGCTTCTGCGCACGTGTCATGGTGACCGGGAGAGAGGGCGATGGGAGCTGGTGGGCGGAGAGGGAATGAGGGGGAAAGAGGAGGTTTTAGAGAGACATGGGAGCTGAGAGAACGTCGGAGAGGAGCGCAAAGGTTGACAGGATGCTTCCCCCTTCCCCTTCGCGCTCAAAGTTTCCACCTTCCCCTTGACCGGAAACTTTGAGCGCGAAGCTCGCCAAGGGGAAGGCGGAAGAGGGGGGGGGGGGGGGGGGAAGGGGGGGGGGGAGGGGGGGGGGGGGGGGGGGGGGGAGTGGGGGGGTTGGGATTGGGGGATGTGATTTCGAACATGGAGTAAATGTTGAACGTGGAAATATGCAAAGGGGCAAGAGGGACGTGTGATGTGAAGGGAGGGGGGGCTGGCGCTCGCGGCATTACGTTCGCGTACCGCGAGCACGCGTGCTCCCGTACTCACTCAAGCGATGACCACCCTCCCGTCGCTCACTACCCGCCTGCATCCACGAAACAACTGTTAGGGTTGGTTCGCCCAACCACGGAACCTACGGTGAAATGCGGAATGGCGGCGGAATGGAGCTCGTGGGAGATTCTAGAGTGATTTCGGTAGAAATCGGCCTACGGTGGACGTTGGAAGCTAAGGCGTGAAAAGCGGGAGAGAAATCGGGAAGAAACTGGAGAAATGAAGGAAGAAGATGTTGGAGAATCGAGTTTCTGCCGCCCCAGCCCTTTGCACACAAGCAGCAGCAAGGGGGAATGTCGGCGATGAATCAGAGCTTCGGGAAGTACTTCGAAAGTTCCACCACCAATCAGATTTCAGCCGAAGACTCGATATAGTTCAAAGCTGCCTTCAAACCGAAGTGTTGGCAGTTTCTACAGGTTTCTACACATCAGAATCAGCTACAACAGAAATATCCAGAGTTTTCTTATTCATGCACCTCATGTGGCACTCAAAGTCACTCAAGGTCCATCCAATCTAGATTGTGCCCAAGTTACCAGGGAAGTTACATTGTCTATCAGCCTAGTTTGAGCTTTCAATCTGTCTTGTTTGTGATGCCTATAGATTTGTGCTTTAGTGGGCTTGTTAATCTTGCACATAGTGAAGTTTTACCTCATCCAGTCAATTCCAGCAGCCCTGCTAAGACTTTCCAGCCAAGTTTCCAGCTCTCCAGTAGTCACAGCTACTCTGTTTTACAAGTGAAGAGTGGAGAAGAATCGAGAATGAGTTCGACGGGGGAAAATGTGGTTCGAGACCAAGGCGTGTTCGAGAAATTTCCAGATTCGGGCTCAAGGAGTGTTCGGTGAATTCGGTTCGGTTGCGTGTGCGACTCGGGGTGAAACGAGGCGCACGCGGTTACTTGGGAAACAAGTGAAGTTACGAATCGCATTTTGTGACTTGCTTGACTATAAAACTGCTTGTACTCATTCTGGAAAACACAACATTGGACAACTTGGAGATTCTGAAAATTGCTGAAGTGTGTATTGACAACTTCAAGCAGAGCTGCGCATATAATTGGATTCGTGAGATCGTGGAGAACACGATAAGCAATAGCAAGTAGACTATTGCCGACTAAGGTGTTTACGATCCTAAGAACTGGTATCAGAGCTTGGCGAACGGGCGCGTCGATCGCGGTGAATTCACTTGGTGCGCTAAGTGAAATTAGTGGAGAAGAGGAGTCGTTCACGCCTACGCTATGGGAGACGAGGCGAGTTCGGGTTCCAGTGTAAGTCTTGGAGACCCGCAGTTGAAGGCTCTTCTCGAGGCCCTTGCGAGTGGCCGATTGGTGGCGAAACCGACGATCGGGCTCAGTGAAGCCCAGCGCTTCAACGGGAGCAACTACAACGTGTGGCGGAAGAAGTTCATTCGAAGGGCAGAGGAGGTGGACCTCTTGCCGTACTACCGCCCCGATGAGGAGACGATGGAGGGAGTTGCGCCATCCCCGACGGACACGAAGGAGAAAACAGCGGCGTTCAAAAAACAAAGTAAGCAAGCGTTCTTTCAGCTTTGTCACACAGTTGCCGATGGAATCGCGGTGGATTTGGACCAGTTTGCAGGGGAGCTGAACTCTGCACAGCGAGCGTGGGAGTACCTAGAGTCCACGTACATGGGTACGAACGATGTCAACAAGAAGGCGATTCGGAAGCAGCTGCTGATGCTGAGCATGGAGAAAGGCGAGAAAATCATCACCTACATCAACAGGGCGAAAAGCTACAACGACGATTTGCGGGTGATGGGAGCCGCGGAGACGGAGCACGAGATGATCGACTATATCATCCAAGGCCTTCCTAAGGAGTGGGAATCTGATATCGGTATGTTTACGTACCAACCGCCGGAGAGTTTGACGAAGCTGCAGGAGATTCTACAGTCGCTTGAGACGGTCAAGGAGATGAGGAAAAAGAAAGCGGCAGCAGCAGCTACGGATTTCGACGAGGAAAGGCCGGCTTTGGTGAATGCAACGAAGGCGTTTGGAGCGTGCTACCAGTGTGGAAAGAGGGGGCATAAGGCGATAAACTGCTACGAAAATCCGCGAAGCAGAAACTACAAGGGCAAAGCGGTGGAGAACGAGAAAGGAGAAAATGGGGGAGCAGAGTGGCAACAGAAACGAGGTTTTGGCGGCAAGTGCGATTATTGTGGGCGCTATGGGCATCGTGCCGCAGAGTGCTACTCCAATCCGAACAGCAGGAGCTACAAGGGTCCGTCGCAGCAGAGGATTGTGGCGGGTAAGGCGAATGTAGCGGAAGCCGAAAAGGAGGATGTGATTTTGGGAGGAGCGCATCGTGCGAACGTGGTGCGTTTACCGAAGGATGTTCGTCAGACGGACGGACGTGAGAAGACGGCATGGTTCATGGACAGCGGATGCACGCGTCACATGACATTCAGGTCAGATTGGATGGAGAACGTGAGGGAGTCGAGTGAGCGTTATATACTGCAAGGTAACAGTGGGAAGTTACCAGTGACAGGAGAGGGTGACGTGGTGCTGCAAAGTCCGTATGGAGAGGTGAAACTGGAGAATGTGCTCTTGGTTGAGGATTTAAAGGTGAACTTGATGAGTCAGTCACAGCTTGATGACTTGGGGTGCAAGATATTTTATGACAAAGGCGAGGTTACAGTGTTTGGTCCTGAGTGGGAGAAGTATGCCGATGGATACTTCAGTGACGGGTTCTATGAGATGAACTTGATAGCGATGAACGACAAGGATGAGATCTATGAGGATCCTGAGTCTACTGAGGTTGATGAGAGCGAGGACACGGATGATACGGCAGCGAGTGTGGAGGCAGCAGTGAAGCAGAAAGAGGAGATAGTCGCCATGGAGGCAGCAGCAGTGAATGGTGGAGATGGAGTTGGTGTCAACACTTTTGCAGCAGCGATCGTGGTTGAAGATGAAGCAGTAAATGAGAAGTATATGGGAGTTGAAGCTGTGAAAGGGGACATCCTGGTGAAGGGATCAAAGGAGAAAGCAACTGCAAAGGGGCGAGTGCTTACGAAGGAGGAACACGTTGAGGGGTACGAGACCCGAGAGGTGTTGGGTGCTAAGATTCCGAGGAGAAGCGAGAGGCTTAAGAAGATGCCTCATGGTTTGGATATCAAGGCGCTCAACTTCAAGACACGTAAGCAGAGGTTCAAGGTGCAGGAGCTGCAGGGGAGCGTGAAGCCGACTTAGACCCTGTGAATGATACAAGGAGCAGGAAAGCAGTGCGAGTGGAGTTCGTGGTTGACGAACCACAGGGGAGATTGTTAGGGTTGGTTCGCCCAACCACGGAACCTACGGTGAAATGCGGAATGGCGGCGGAATGGAGCTCGTGGGAGATTCTAGAGTGATTTCGGTAGAAATCGGCCTACGGTGGACGTTGGAAGCTAAGGCGTGAAAAGCGGGAGAGAAATCGGGAAGAAACTGGAGAAATGAAGGAAGAAGAGTGGAGAAGAATCGAGAATGAGTTCGACGGGGGAAAATGTGGTTCGAGACCAAGGCGTGTTCGAGAAATTTCCAGATTCGGGCTCAAGGAGTGTTCGGTGAATTCGGTTCGGTTGCGTGTGCGACTCGGGGTGAAACGAGGCGCACGCGGTTACTTGGGAAACAAGTGAAGTTACGAATCGCATTTTGTGACTTGCTTGACTATAAAACTGCTTGTACTCATTCTGGAAAACACAACATTGGACAACTTGGAGATTCTGAAAATTGCTGAAGTGTGTATTGACAACTTCAAGCAGAGCTGCGCATATCATTGGATTCGTGAGATCGTGGAGAACACGATAAGCAATAGCAAGTAGACTATTGCCGACTAAGGTGTTTACGATCCTAAGAACAACCTAGCAGTGTTCGACGCGTGATCGCGTCGCGTACTCACTCAAGTGATAACCACTTTCCTACTATCCCGTCGCTCACTACGCGCCTGCATCCTTGAAACGACCTAGCAATGCTCGACGCGCGCTCGTAAAATGCACTTGATTTAATGACCACGCTCGTAATATTCGTGCCGCTTACTAGCCGCCTGCATCCGTGAAACAACCTAACGATGCGGCTCTTCGCGTGTTTGCTACTTGGGGTGTTGAGAATACTCACCACGGCAAATCCACCACGGGTGAATTTAGCTCCGCTAAAGCTCCTCTTCCACGACAGTAGATAATAGCGAGGGCAATACCAGAACGTAGAACAATCTCGCGTGGTGTGGCAATAACGGAATCTCGTGTGCTCAGGGAGTTGCTCTGCCGTAAGATTTCAGCTGACAAGCAGGGCCCAAAATTGGTTTTGGGCCACTCTTGCAAATCAGGGTTCGAGCCCCCCAGTACCCTGACCCCTAGGGTAATATTATCCGTACACTGATGGCAGCAGCCTAAAATTTCAGATACACGGTTTGTGTCAGGGTAAATTTATTAATACACTGTTTGTAGTGTAAAAAATGTTTATACACGGATAAAAATGTTTATGTCTCAGGCTGTTAGATATTTTTCTAGGAATTGGAAGATCACGTGTTCGAATCCCGGCGTGGTTGATGATATTTTGCGGCTTCGTAAAAAAAACCTCCCTACGGAGGATTCGGTATCAGTGTAATGTGCAGCGCACCCTGATACCGGCAGGGTAACCGAAATCGTTATCAGTGTACTCAAAACCTTACCCTTTTTCCACTAGGGTAAAACTTTCCATAGGCTGATTTGGCAAGGGTAACTGGGAAAAAGTGGCCGCTCATCAAGGCAAACAGGGTATTTTACCCTGATAATTTGGGCCCTGGTTACAAGGTCGGAGAAGAGTGAACCGTTCACAAATCAGGCCTCCAATTCGTTCGCAAACCCTAACATCGGCCTTTCGAAAAACTCGCGATTGTTCGTCTGCCTCGATATTGTAACGCGTGCCGAAAAAAACGATTTCAGACAAAGTGAGGGTTAACATCACTGCATCGCATTGAACCATTCTGTGTTGAGAAGCGGGTGACAAAGTACTTCTCGAACCGATCTGGAACGCACGAGCGGGTGGTCAGGCTTCGATGTTGCTGAACTTCGATTTGGACCGAACGGATGCAACTGCAGCATTCATTTATCGCCAAGATGATTTCAAGCTATGGGGCACAATTGGAATTTGGAAATGACAGAGCACGACCCCTTGAAGCCGCGCACAAGCTGGCGTGTGGTATTGAAGTCGTGCACGACAGAGTTTTCTCCGTATCGCATTTTATTAGGCTCGATCTAAATTTTTTAAATTCACTCAAAGTGCCACGAGCGACGTGGCAACGCTCACTTCGGCACCTCGAAACCACTCGAAGCCACTTATAAAAATCCCCTACGCCTTCTAAGGAGCATCTTTGCACATTCTTATCGCGATCATGACGACGACGACGAGCATCACGCGAGCCGTGCCGCTCGCGCAGCGTCCGTTCGACGTATTCTTCGTGCTCTTCTTCGCCGTCCACGTGCTCACCGCCGTTCTCATCGACGCGCAGATGCTGCTGCCACGTGCCCTCTTCCCAGAGGCGTTGCGTCGCGCCGTGACGTGGCACGTCGAGACCTCTGGGGACTTCCTTGTCGGTGAGTCTACTTGCTCTAATCATTCATATTTGTAGATGCCACGTGGCCAATTCCCAATCGTGATACCCACGTGTCGTGCCATGTCGTGGCAAGTCAAGTCCTCTAAGGAGTTTCTCGTTGTAAGATTCCCCTTGCATGGGTGTCATGATTGGGAGAGAAAATGCAAGGGAATCAGGGTAACACATATGGCCCCCTGCATTCCCACCCCCTGCATCCATTTGTGTAACGCGAGCTACCATAACCTTTAAACCTAAAACCTGGATTTGAAATAAGAGGGGAAGTTACACATCTGTTACCAATGGGGGGATTCCTCTGAGGCCTACAGGTGCCGATGTTCTCATGTGGCACCTGGAGGCCTCAGATCACAGCAATCCCCGCATCGGTAACCTCTACCCACACCTAAAAGGCTAAACCCTCTGTAGCCATTTAGAAAACCCTGTAACACCCTGTTTCACCTTCCCTTCCGTTCTGGTATTACCCGAGCACGAAATCTGCCAACCGCCGTTTTGCTTCCGTAAACAAACGGATTCAGTGTCAGGGCTTTTCATGCTCCGTGTAACGCCGTTATGGAAATTGAGTCCTCTCCTTTTGCAAGCTCGCCCCAGCCCTGGTTCCTATCTTCTCCCTCGTCGCCTCTGAGTTGCCGCTGCCTCAGATGCTTGCTTGCTTGCCTGGTTGCTTGCTTTCTGAGAGCGCCCGACTTTGCACCCTCGATTCGTTCCCCCTCCCTTCCCTCCCTTCCCTCCCTTCCCTCCCTTCCCTCCCGTCCCTCCCTTCCCTCCCTTCCCTCCCTTCCCTCCCTTCCCTCCCTTCCCTCCCTTCCCTCCCTTCCCTCCCTTCCCTCCCTTCCCTCCCTTCCGTCCCTTCCCTCCCTTCCCTCTTCCCTCCCTTCCCTCCCTTCTCTTCCTTCTCTCTGTTCCCTCCCTTCTCTCCATTTTCTCCCGTCCCTCCCTTTCCTCAGTGCCTCCAGACTCCCCATCCTCTCGGCACACTCTCCTTCCCAGCCCCTCTCCTTAACGCCTCTCAGCTGCTGCTGTGGCCATTCTCCCTCAATGCACGCACCTTGGCCCTCTCCTCGCCTTTTCCTCCTCCTTCCTTCCCCTCACCTCCTTGCACCGCCACTCCTCCTTCAACTCCCTTACCTTTTTCAACCCCCTCACGTATTTCAATCCCCTCACCTATTTCAATACCCTCACTTATTTCAATCCCCTCACCTATTTCAATCTCCTCACCTGTTTCAATCCCCTCACCTATTTCAATCCCCTCATCTATTTCAATCCCCTCACCTTTTTCACCCCCCTCACCTATTTCAATCCCCTCACCTATTTCAACCCCCTCACCTTTTTCAACCCCCTCACATTTTTCAATCCCCTCACCTTTTTCAACCCCCTCATCTCCTTCCACCCACCCCCCCCACAGGCTCGCCCCAGCCGTGGTTCCTCTCCCTCATCGCCTCGCATCTACTGATGCCATTCTCTCAATGCACCGCTTGTCCCCTCTTCTGCTTCCATCCCCCCCCACAGGCTCGCCCCAGCCGTGGTTCCTCTCCCTCTTCGCCTCTGTCGTGATTCCAACCCATTCCCTCACTCTCTCCCGTTGCCTCCACTTCTTCTCTCACCCTCATCCTCTTATGCCTGCTTGCCTGCCCCAGTGCCGTCTGTCTGCCTCTTCTTCCTCCTGGTGTATGTGATGATGCCGCTCCTGCCTTCCCCCTGCTTCTCAGGCTGCACTGCCCCCTTGCAACAAGTCTTAAACTCTCTCCCTCGCGAGGGCTCCGTCAGTTTGCTGTTAGCTTCTCCCACTGCTAGCTCTCTTCGGATTAGGAAAACAAATTGCAGTAAGCGAGAAACATACAAGCAAAAAGCGAGTGAATCAGAATCCTCCCTAGCAATTCTACCCTGCTCTCCCTCCTGCCTATCCTCTGCCTAGTGGCTGTGAGCCTCCGAGCTCTCTGAGCTAGTCGCGAGGAATTCCAGGAGCTAGCTGGCTCGAGCTGGGACCCACTGGGCATGCACCGCCATCCAGGCTGGTTGGCGGTGAGTTGAATTTCCAGCACTTCGAATTCAATTGCCAGCTTCGAATCCAATTCGAATTCAGTTGTCAGCTTCGAATTCAATTGCCTGAGCTCGCCCTCCACCTGCACAACTCCTCCTCCTCGACCTCTCCCTCACCAACTCGCCTCCCACATTACAGATAAGAGTATAGTACAGTAAACCGCCTGAAAGCAAGAAAAGCAAAGAAAGAAAGTAACAAATGTACACAACATTATCCCACTTACCCTAGCTGCTGTGTTCAGTGCGTCTAACCCACTGGTTAGCCGCACTCAGCGCGACACCTCGCATCTACTGATGCCATTCCCTCTCTCTCAATGCACCGCTTGTCCCCTCTTCTGCTTCCACCCACCCCCCTCACAGGCTCGCCCCAGCCGTGGTTCCTCTCGCTCGTCATCTCTCAGTTCCTGCTGCATGTCCCCTTCTTCCTCGTAGCAATCTACGCCTTCTGCACTGGTAAGGCTGCTGCTCGCCCCGTGACAATCTCCCATGTCCCCCAATGTCCCTACCCTGTTTCAAATTGAGAGCTTGGGACGCCTCAAAGAGCCCCTTCTTCTTCGCAGTTATCTATACCTGCTGCACTGGTAAGCCTTGCTGCACTGGTAAGCCTTGCTGCACTGGTAAGCCTTGCTGCACTGGTAAGCCTTGCTGCACTGGTAAGCCTTGCTGCACTGGTAAGCCTTGCTGCACTGGTAAGCCTTGCTGCACTGGTAAGCCTTGCTGCACTGGTAAGCCTTGCTGCACTGGTAAGCCTTGCTGCACTGGTAAGCCTTGCTGCACTGGTAAGCCTTGCTGCACTGGTAAGCCTTGCTGCACTGGTAAGCCTTGCTGCACTGGTAAGCCTTGCTGCACTGGTAAGCCTTGCTGCACTGATAAGCCTTGCTGCACTGGTAAGCCTTGCTGCACTGGTAAGCCTTGCTGCACTGGTAAGCCTTGCTGCTCTGGTAAGCCTTGCTGCACTGGTAAGCCTTGCTGCTCGGCTCGTGCTGCTCGCCCCAGCCATGGTTCCTCTCTCCCTCGTCATCTCTCTGTTCCTTCTGCATGTCCCTTTCTTCATCGTGGTTATCTAAGCTCTCTGCACTGGCGGGTCATGCTGCTTGGCTCGTGACGACCCCTCATCCCTCATGGCTCATGCCTCATGCCCCATCCCTCATGGCTCATGCCTCATGCCCCATCCCTCATGGCTCATGCCTCATGCCTCATGCCTCATGGCTCATGGCTCATGGCTCATGCCTCATGCCTCATGCCTCATGATCACATCATGAGACGGGTGTTGGGGCGCCTCAATGTTCCCCTTGTTCCTCACAGCTACCAGCACTGGCGGGTTATGCTATTGGGCTTGTGATTATCCGTAGTACCTCATGCCTCATGCCATCCATCATGCCCCATACCTCATACCTCATCCATCATGCATCATGCCATGCCACATGCCTCGTCCCTCATGCCCCTTGTCTCTGATGCTCTTCTCAGGTGGAGAGTGGATCCGCGTGCCGGCTATTGCCTACTCTGGCCATGCCATCACCAACATGGTCAGTCTACCCATATCCATCCCATGCATGAGCCCCATGGTCAGTCTACCCATATCCATCCCATGCATGAGCCCCATGGTCAGTCTACCCATATCCATCCCATGCATGAGCCCCATGGTCAGTCTACCCATATCCATCCCATGCATGAGCCCCATGGTCAGTCTACCCATATCCATCCCATGCATGAGCCCCATGGTCAGTCTACCCATATCCATCCCATGCATGAGCCCCATGGTAATGTTATGAGCACTATGGTTCTGCCATTGACAGCATGGTAATGCCATGCGCACCATGTATGGTAATGCCATGAGCACCATGTATGGTAATGCCATGAGCACCATGTATGGTAATGCCATGAGCACCATGTATGGTAATGCCATGAGCACCATGTATGGTAATGCCATGAGCACCATGTATGGTAATGCCATGAGGGCAGGGTATCGCCGCTCTCCCACGAGCAGATCCCAATGTCCTCTGAGATTGCACTGAGCCCATCCCTCTGGCCCATCCCCATTTCCTCTGGCCCATCCCCATTTTCTCTGGCCCATCCCCATTTTCTCTGGCCCATCCCCATTTTCTCTGGCCCATCCCCATTTCCTCTGGCCCACCCCACCCGTGAGTCACTGCTCACCATCTATGAGTACCCTTTCTCGCCCTGCCGTGGCACCTGCTGCTCATCTCACTGCACTAATTCTCCCTTCGTTTGTCTCTCTTCCGAAAAAAACCCTATGGAAAGAAAAATGTAGTACCCACTTCCACCCCCCTTCCATCCCCTCCGGATCCATGTTCCCTCCAAGAACACACTAGGTCCATTCCCCGGTTCTACCCGCCACCTGCCTTTCCTCACCATGCCCTGCCTGCTGCTCCTCCATTGTCTCCCTGTTCTCATCTCCCTCTTCTCATCCCTGCAGATTCCCATTCTCTCAGAGATGGCTCTCAGCCCATCCCCCTGGTCCACGCGTCAGAAGCTGCTAGCCGTCTACCTGCCCTTCCTCGCAGTGCCCTGCCTGCTGCTCGTCAGAGTCACGCTGCCTCCGTCTCTCTTCCATAAGAAATTCGTGCATGCCAAGAAGAGGTTGTGATAGATGATTCATTCAGGCCTCCAGATATCAGCGTGAAAAAAAAAAAAAAAAAAAAAAAAAAAAAAAAAAAAAATCAGCGTGATTTCGTGTAGATCCAGTCTGCTATTGATAATTATTTGTAGGCTGTCTGTCCCTCCCTGATGACTCGTCCAATTGTTTTGGTGACTGTTTCCTGCTTGTATAGTATCAGTGTAGATCCAACTGATTTCAGTGACTTGATTTTGGTGGCTCTTTCAGTGTCTTACAGGGGTCAGGTAACTAGCACTTCATGAAGCTAAATGTTCCTAATACCGTATGGCCCCGGATATAGGCGCCGTCCGATTAAAGGCGCCGGCGCTTCTATCTGGAGCATGGCGCCTATGGCCGGAATTCGGTTATAAGCGCCCCCCCCTAGAAAACCTTTACTTATTATAAGCGCATATGCAATTTGATTTTAAATTCTTGCCTAAAACAGTAACGAAATTCTATTTTGCAGCGAGTCAGATTTCAATTTCGCTTCGTTTGACTCGCGAAGACCTGACTGGCTGCGCGTCCAGTCAGGATGTGCTGGCATGACGTGGCTTTGCCTGTGTGTGAACCCAGAATATCGCTTGCGCGAAATTCTGCATTGTGACGATAAAACATTTCGACTCGGTTGAAATGGCAAGAAGAAAATAAACAATTTGGTGCTCTGAATATATAATTTCGTACTTGTCATTATATAAGCGCCGGCGCTTATGACCGTTACTCAACTACAAGCGCCCCCCCTTAAAAAAATGAATTTATTATAAGCGCATATGCGCTTATATCCGGGGTGATACGGTAATATTATTATTTCTTTGGCATACCGTAAGAAAAGCTCTATTGATGCTTATGCAAGTCCCAAGCAAGAAAAGGCTGGTCCCCCAAGTTGTATTATGTAAAAACATGGAGGTAACTATTCGTATATCCTCAAAATCTAGAGATTTGTATATCCCTCATGCGCTATAGGGAGTACGGCTCTCATCTTCCCCTCATGTCATGCCCTCCTCGTCAATCTCTAGATCGATGAGAAGCTGCCTGCTCTTGAGCGAGGTCATTCATCCAGCTGTCACGAGTACGTGTCTCGTGCTCGAATTCGCGAAAACACTTACATTTCTGCGAGTTTTTGCGAGGTCATTCGTAAAGTTCCCTGAGGCGAATTGTGCTTTAGGCCTTGTGGTAACCGCTGGTCGCAGTTGTGTCCATTTGAAACGGGGAGACAAGGCGGGTATGGGGCGAGACGCCACGAAATCGCACGAAACTGGAATCCCAGAGACAGCCGCCTCGGGAGTCCCGCACGTATCGATGACCTCGATTCATCCTGCCAATTTGGTATGACGCGGCGTGCCAACAAGGCACACCGACTCTGACACCCCAACTCGCAGAGTTCAGAAAGTTCATACGCGCCCTGTCGAAAAAACACGGGCGATTGCAGGATCGCTTCCGCGTGCTCGCGGAAGCGAGCTGCTCGCGAGAAGAAAAAAAACTAAAACCCACTCAAAAGGCATGCGGTTCGGGAGCATCAACCCTAAAATTTTGAACTAAAACCCACTCGGAAGGCATGCGGTTCGGGAGCATCAACCCTAAAATTTTAGGGTTGAGGCTCCCGAACAGCATGCCGGTCGCGATGGGGAATAGTTTTTTTTGCCCCGGGCAGAAAGCTTCCGCCAGCTCCGCATCCCCTGGTGGATTTGCGCCCACCAGGGCTCGGATGAACCATCATTTTTCTAGTCCCTCTCCGCCATGGATACTACCTCAAGCGCTTCGGAGGTCCCAATGTTCACTGAAACCTTGCCTGATGGGGCTTTAACCAAGCTTTTTGGATTCCTTGCTTCAAGATTAATAAACGACTTAACAAATTGTGTTCTTATATCGAACATGTTTCAAGCTTATCAATCTTCAGTGGATCCCAAGACACTAAACTCCCAAGGTTATGCACTCAGTGTACATCAATGGACTTCCCAAGGTACTGCGCCAAGGGAGCAACGATGTTTGCGCCACCTACTGATTGACAAAGAAGGCATTATCATGACATCTCCTACAATGTGTCTATCATCATATAAGAAGGGACTCAAGGGAACACCTTTCATTATCAAGCAACCATATCGCTATCGTAAGCTCCTATCGCTCTTCACCATGCCGCCGAAAGGATGGTCCCAGAGGATCAACGCCAAGTCTGGTGCTCGGGTGCAGACTTTCAGTGCACCAGTTTCGCCAATCAAGGTTGATGGCACGCCGATTACCAAGGACACTGCTGATGTGCTGTTGTCACCTTCAGTCCATGTGAATCATCCGGAATCATCATCAATGGCTGCTGCAAGGTTATCTTCGTTGAAAGGCAAGGGACCAAAGGGTGATTCAATCAGCAAGCATGGGAAGATTCAGGAACTGGAGCTACCTGAACCGATGTCGCCTACTACTAAGCCGGATATGGACTTTCCTGACAATGAAGAGGAAGAGGGAGCTTATGGCTCTGGTTACCCCAGTGACGACTCCGATGAGGGAGCTGACTCTGTTATGGCTGGTCTTGTTGCTGCTCAGATTTGTTATACGCTGACGCAAATCCCAGATAAGCATATTGGCGAAGTCCCACGTACGATGGACTCGGTCAACGCTTATCTGACCCACTAGAAGAAAGAACTTTCGGCGGACTTGCCGACAACAACAAAAATTCAGAAGCTGCTACCTACTTACTTGTCAAAGGAGTGGTTTGGTCGCATTCAAGTTACCTTCATCCATGAGAAGGACGCAACTTTCGTTTGGAAGCGTGCTGTTGCTCGCGACTGTGTTGATGGTACCCCCTTGAAGCTGAGCTGGCAATTTCCCGAGAATGCAGATTATCTTCGAGCACGGCCTCTCCGCCCGAAGGCCTTTGAGGTGGTGCTGAAAGGTGTTCTGGCGGAGTTGACTTCGGAGCGGATTCCCGGTGATGGTGTGGTTGGTAAAGAGGGGGAAGCCGCCGTTTAAGGAAGGCTACAGATTTCATCGGGTGCAAGACCTGGTTACTGGGATGGATACGGACAAGATTAAGGGTCTTCTGATGCAGCATGAGAATGACCCGTACCGTTGGCGTCCCTTATGGACCCTGCAATGAATGGGAAGAAGCTGCTGCTGCACTTTCCTTCGCTCAACTGCGACTACTACAGCGGTCACCACATGACACGCTACCACGACGATTACGTCACTGACCGTCAGGCTAACATTGCTAAATGGAACCTCGCGGTTAAACGTATCCATGAAGTTAACGGTACTCCTGATTTACAGCCCTACAAGGAATGTCTCGCCTTTTTCTCTTATCACGTTACTGACTCTACTCTTTCCTCTCCTCCCCGCAGCTGCCTCACTGAAAGTCACGAGACTCACTGAAAGCGATTCTGCTGGATTCGGCTCGTGTTCTCACCTCAACCGGTGGATCCTGAGAAGACTGGATCTGCGTTCTCGAAGCCTGTGGCAAGGCGCACGGCAACAACCTCGAGCTTGCAGCAGCACACGTTGCTTCTATTCATCACACCTACCAATCTGACCGCAGCAGGAGCAGCCACTCGCATCAGCAAGGGTGCGATCAACGTCGCAGTCCTCAGAAAGGAGTTCCTCAAGTGACCTGTCAAGAACTGGGAGAGAAGTTAACAGAGTGGGAACTCAAGTTGGGAGAGATGTTTCAGAAGTATCATGAAGTGGTAGTATGTGGAGCTGTGGTTAGTGCCTCTGTAGCACCTGTTGTGCTGTGTGGAATCATCCTTATAACAAGATTTATGGAGTGGTGGATGTGTGTGACTCCGGCGCTGGGAAAAAACAAGCTGCTCACAACAACAGATTCTTCTGATCCGTGGATGCAAAGGGGTCCTCAGCAGTGGTTTAACGAATAAACACCATGAACACACTATCACCGCGCTCAAAGTGAACGGACTAGGGAGCGCGGAGAAGAGGGAGAACCTGCTTGGCTGGCTTAAGAAATCCAAAGGAGTGATTGTACTCACTGATACCAGATTATCGGCAGACCACAACTTCTGGAATCAAGTTGAAGCGGAGGCAGCGGCGATAGTGGCTCCAGGAGACGCAGCAGGAGGAGTAGCGGTACTGAGCTTCAACAAAGAAGTAGTTCTTAACGACGTTCGGCGGCATGTATCGGGGAGACTGATAGCGGCGACAGTGAACTGGAGGGAGTTGACATGGACATTGTTAGCAGCGTACTTTCCTGCACAATCAATAACCACAGGGAGTTTCTTTAGAGACAGCTTATCCCCTATTGTGGACTCACTAACTCAACCTGGACCTGTGATCCTTACAGGGGACCTGAACATCGCTGCAGATCCCATCATGGATAAAACATCTCAGCAAGGATCAGACGTGGAAGAAAAACGGCTGATGCGTATATGCGCAAAATGGGACCTGAAGGATATCTTCCATACGTTATACCCCTCGCAACTAAAATATACCTTCCTGGCGAAGGCAACGATGACGAGCTCACGCGTCGACCGTGCATTGGTATCAGCCTCTCTGCTCCCAGTTGTGGCTGACGCCTATCATACAGCAGCTCCAGTGGATGTCACAGATCACTGGTTCGGCATCACCACAGTGTTGTCGACGTAAACTGGAGAAGCACAAGGTTTAGGACTGTGGAGAATGCATGTGGCTCAGACGAGACACCCAAGGACGCGAAATACCATCCGGAGAGTACTGCGGGATCAAGGCGGGAAAGGCAGGAAAGGCTTGCACTCCACACTCGCAGAATTGCAAGCCAGTATCAAAGCACATTCACGAGAAGAAAGAAAAAGGATCGGGAGAACAATATTGCATCTGGAGAACAGGGTGGCGGCTTTGCGACAGGAGTTCATGGCAGATTCAAGTTTGGGTGAGAAGTACGAGGAATTGATCAAGTATGAGGCTCAGCTCAAGGCATATCAAGACAGTCAGAGGAGGCGAAAACAGATAATCATAGGTTAGTAGATTCCAATCCTGGTCGTCGTCG